GTGGAGCGAGACGTGGCTCCCCTTGCCGTCTCTTCTCTCCCCCCTCCGGCAGCTGCTGCCATTGGGGTGGGGTGGGACATGTTGGGTCGGTCGGCTGGCATGAAGAACAGAGAGGGGAGGCCATGGCAGCGACGGGACATCCAGTCCCATGCTCGTCGCCTCCTGCACTCTCAAAATAATAAGACCCCCCCAATAATAAGGTTAAGCCTTATTTATTTTCAGGGTTATTTTCAGGGAAACACGGTACAAGGGAGGAATCTGTAGTGAAACTACCTCACAAAATTTAGAATAGGAAGTTGTAGGAAGGTACTTTCCCACTGGTTTCTTTGAGCAGTGTAATTGTAAAACATTTTCCTCTCATTAAAATCAATGAGATAGAACGAACTGCTCCAGTTCCAAGCACAATGTAACTTGCAGGCCCAGAAGAGGAATGACAGGACTTGGGGGCAGGTATTATTTTTAGCTACTGATCTCTTTTAACATATTACATGCATGTGTCATCACAATAAATCCATAGGGGATGTTCACCTAGTCCACCAAACTGATTACATAAACATGACTAAATGCGGTTTACTACAAAACAAATTGGTGACATCTCTTGTCCTCTCTTTTTATTTTTATTTTTTGCTATAATATACTTAACAGTCTGAAAGAAAAACTACAACATACAAAGCAGTGTAAATACAAAAAGCAAAACACAAAAGGAAAAAAATATACATATTTATATACCACAGGGCCCTTCAGATGTTCACTCATGCTCTAATTTATTCAGAACTTGACTACTACATGTTCTACATGGGACTGTCCTTGAAGCTTCCACTGGTCCAGAATGCAATCATATGGGCAGTAATGCCTTGATATACCCATGTAATACCTCTACTTTCAAGTTGTATTGGTTGCCATTTACTTCTGGGTGTCATTCAAGGTGCTAGTTACCTATAAAACCCTATATGACATAGTACCCGGTCATACGTTATCTGTCACTAATAGCATCTGCCCAGCCGACTCAATCCTGCAAAGCAGATGTGCTGAGTTCCTTCAATTAAACAAAGCCCTGTATCAGGATCCAGGAAGGACACCTCTCCTGTAGCAGCACCTGCCCTCTGGAACAAGTTTCTTCCCAAGATCCAGATGGCCCCATTCTGTGACTGTTCAGAAGAGCCATGAAGACTCAGCTGTTCATCCAGGCCTTTGGTGAAAGAGACTGAGACCCCTCACTTAATTCCATCTGGTTAGTCACAGTTGCCACCTTTTAATCTTTAATGTTTTATTGATTTTATTGTAGTTTGTTGGTTAGAATATGTTAGCTATTGCTTCTGAAATTCTTACAAAACTAATTCCTATCTAGATAATATTCTTTAATTGTCTGGAAAAATAAACAATAGGTATAAAATCTTTTCAATTATTCTTTTTCAATTATTCCAATATAGAAAATCCTTGATTTATGACAACTGAGCCCAAAATTTCTGTTGCTAACAAGGCAGTTGTTAAGTGAGTTTTACCCCATTTTACGACCTTTTTGCCACAACTATTAGGTGAGTCACTGCAGCTGTTAAGCAAATCATGCAGTTATTAAGCGAATCTGGCTTTCGGGATCCTGCAATATTCATAAGTATGAAAACTGGTTATAAGTCTCTTTTGTTCAGTGCCATTGTAACTTTGTCCATTAAATGTAAGTTGAGGTCTTTCTGTAATTTAAGGATTTCAGAAACTGCTTGCACATATAGTTCATACTATGTGATTAAAGGATGTTTTAATTGAATGTAGGGCTATTCTGCAATTTTAAGTGACCCACGATCTTCCAAACTAATTCAGCACTGAACAGATGCTTATCACTTTAATTATTTTCAGTTCAGGTACAAGATATTCCTTCAGGATAAAATACCGTTCTTTTATCCTCTTTTAATCTAAAAATATACTGATATAAAATACACTTATTTCCTACTTTTTAGCAGGAAATCTACTATGAACACTAAGTACATGACCTGATATAAATTGCAATATAATTGCATTAAGTTGCTGCTGTGTAGTCAAAACATAATTCATCAATGGATCACCTAATAATATTGGAACAGAACAGCCCAACCTCTGCAACCTAATAAGGACTTTATTTATTTAGCACAACTACCTCACCACTATAAGCTATATACTTAATTGGAGTGTCTAGTTCTTTTTTTAACCCTTTAGCAAAGACATGTCAAATGGCCTCTTGAAAAGAAGAAAAAACAAAATAAGTAATAAAGAAAAGATTTCATAAGAAGCAATAGCTAACGTCTCTCCTGAATCATTCTTGACTCCTAGTGACTCCATGGATACACCCATGTTTTTTGGCAACATACGGAAGAGATGTGCCTCTGTGTTCTTCCGTAATGGTTTTTTGAATTTCTCATTTTAAACTCTTGAGGATATCCAGGTAAAATCTCATTCAAATCTTAATCAGATTTGATTTGCTTAGCTTTTCTGAGATCAGGCCAATTCAGCTAGATGTTGGCATCTTCAATAATAAGCAATACAGGTAGTATTCGACTTACAACCATTTCTTTAGTGGCCACTGGAAGTTACAATGGCACTGAAAAAAGTGACTAATGACCAGTTTTCACACTTATGACCATTGCAGCATCCCCATGGTCACATGATCAAAATTCGGATGCTTGACAATTGGCATGTATTTATGACAGTTACATGTCCCAGGATCATGTGATCGCCTTTTGCGACCTTCTGACAAGCAAAATCAATGGGGAAGCCAGATTCACTTAACAACCGTATTACTACCTTAACAAGTACAGTTATTCACTTAACAATTGTGGCAAGAAAGATAATAAAATGGGGCAAAACTCAACAATTACTTTGTTCATCAATGGAAATTTTGGGCTCGATTGTGGTCGCAGGTCAAGGACTACCTCTACTTAACACCAGGGTTCTATTACCAAAACATGAGCAAAACCTTTTAATTGTAGTCAGTTGATCCTCTTTCATTCTTAGGATTGGGATGTAATAATATATAATATATATTGGGACTGCTTGCGACAGCTCTGCCAATCTTGTGAACATTAAAAAAAAAATTCAGCCCAAAATTTCCATTGATCAGCAAAGTAGTGTAGCTGTTGAGTTTTGCCCCATTTTACAATCTCTCTTGTCACAATTGTTAAGTGAATAACTGCATTGTTAAGTTAGTAACAAATAACCCATATAACCTGGGGTTTCTGATGGATTCTATCCAGTTGAGTATTGCCAGCCATAGCATTTTTCTCTAATGCATTCTGGTCAAGATAAGCTATGGCAGTAAAGGCAGCCCTGTGGAATATGAGTAGAAAGGCAGTCGCTCTAAAGAGCTCTAAATATGTCCAAGGTGGAGTTACACAGGGCGCAATAAACCTCAGCGTCACTGCAAAGCAGTTTCTCAGGACCAGCCACTGTGAATTAAGCCCAAATTATCGAATTCCCTATTAGCAAAGTAATAAGTAATTATTACTTATTATCACACATAATAAATGCTTCTTTTAAAAAAGCTGGCAATATACCTGCTCATTAAGTACACAACAGCTATTTTTTTCACCCACATATTGCCAGAAAATTGTATTCAGGTCAGGTGTAAAGGAAAAAGGAGGCCAAACTAAGGCTAATGTCTCTTAATTTTATTTACATTTGAGCAGAGGCCACAACACTTTGGGTGGGAAATGGGGACAGGAACATATTCCCAGCTCACATTTGTACAATTTTTGTTGGAAATAATGGAAGTTGTACTCAACGAAGGGTCAAATTTCAAATTGGGTGGGTAGGTGGGGGGAAGACTACTGTAGAATTATTTATTTATTTATTTATTTATTTGTTAATTTTTTTGCCGCCTATCTCGCTGTGTGGCTGTTTTAGGCGGTTTACAATAATATAACAAAGATCACATTTACAATGTACCTACAGATTCTCCTTAGTTTTCTTACCATCACCTACAGGTAGTTCCATCTATCTGATTTTGTGTCTGTAAATTATTTAACAGATTATTTTCTAATTGTGTCAAATAGATGGAAGATATAAAATCAAAATAAATGAACATTTAAAAATAAAACACTGTATTTGTAGACATATTTCACAAAAACACATTTTTGCCATCAACAAAAGAAAAAAAAACCTATCATGCTATAAACCATAGAACAAAACTGTCTTTTAAAGTATTATTTTAAAGTCTACAAGTCTATGTATCTATTTGGAGATTTGAAAGTGTAGTTAAGATATTTAAGAGGAATTTTCAATCTCCATTTCAGGGAGATTGTATCTGAGATATTTCATACTGCATATTTGCAAAAAAAAAAAGTATTAAATTAATGAGTTGCTTAAAAATATTGAGTGTTCCCAATAATTAAGAGGCATAATTTTTATTCTGAGTGTAGGGACAAGGTAACTATGGTCCATAGTTGCAAAAGGTGTGGTCCAAAGAAGACAGAGAAGGTGTGTTGTTTCCCCTTCTAGCCATTCTGCTTGAGATTGTTGGGAAGGGAGGGGGAGGTAAATCTGCAATCCACATGCACATGCATGCAGCTCTGAATCTGATAACATGAGCAGCTCTCAGCATCAAATAGATTGCCCAACTTCTTTCTGAAGCATGAGTTCCCAGTATAAGGAACCTTTGAGGGCTACTTATTTATCCTAATTCCCTTACCAGAAAAACACTATCACATTTATCTATTTCGAAGGCTCCCATTTCTTCAGCTACTAATATTATTTCTTCTGTAACCAACCCCAAGAAAGTAAACACTGTGGATATTTCATTCCACATTCCTAATTAGTAGTAATTGTATGAATTCTAGCCTAGTGGGTGTACATGAATTCCAAACTAAAAACAAATGTCTATTTGTTTCACTTAGAATAAATCTGAAAAGAAAAACTTGTGGCTTAAAGAAAGCCTTCCAAATCAGAAATATAAGAAATATGTTGGCAGCACTCAAATACACGTAAAATAAAATTATACTTTAAAACAGAAGAAAAGCAGTTTGTATTGGTGTTACCTGGGATATGTGTGGGTGAATAGTGCCATCAGCAAACACTGTGCTACTCTGTGGTTGACCTTCCAGCCAGGTGATTTTTAAAGGATTGTATGTTAGGCCAACTTCATTCTTCACTGCCATCTCCTAACAGATAAAAACAAACAGCACCATGTGATCATCTGTATTTCATTGAATCCTACTTCGGTAATTAACTCGAGCAAACAGAAGAATGGCTGCAGAAAAATAATTGAATGGCTGTGTAAAAAGGACCTGAGAAATTCAGTCCAGGCTTGCTTTGAGTTCCCTCCCAAGTTGTCAAATTAATTCATATCACTTGATATAGGATATCAACTGACAGTAGGACAATAATCCAGTTGGATGTATCATTTTACAATATATTGTAATTCTTTCAATAGACCTCAATATCTATCAATAAATATCAATAGATACTTATATCAAACAAGAGGGCATTTTACAAAGAGATAAAAAAGAATAATAATAGTAATGACATTCACCCAGAGGTACTTGAGGGTGGTTTCTCAACTACTGTAAACATTTTATATTTTACATGCAGTAACTTCACATAATCCTCATTTAGCAACTACCTCAGACAGTGACCATTTGCAGTTACAACACTGAGGAAACTTTGCAATCAATGCCTACATTACGTGTTGTACCTTATGATTCTTGATGAACGTATCTTTTCTTTTATGTACACTGAGAGCATATACACCAAGACAAATTCCTTGTCTGTCCAAACACACTTGGCCAATAAAAAAAAATCTATTCTACAACCTTTGCAGCTTCTCTCTCCACATCAAGTGTTCACCCTTACAGTCAGTTAGTAGGTGTTGTCCTGTGCCTGACCCATTTTTTTCCTTCTCCTCTCTGGCATAAGAGAGATTGCCTAACAAGCTATCTTCCCCAGAGCTTCTTTTCTCTGTGTAGCGCATAGCTAAACTGCTCTACAGACGAATTAATAAACTCAGCTCTGTGACCTTAATTAGTTGATTAGAATCCTCCCTCCAGATAGCTTGCACTGCTGTCTGACATGGAGGGGACCCCCTAATCAGTTTTACAAAATGCTTCTGATTGCCTCTTAAGCAACTCACTGCTTGTAGCCACTAGCACACTAGGCAAATAACAGTGCTAGAGCATTCCTTTCAATGTATATTCCCAAGTGCCCTGTCTGTTATAATATCTTCCTCTCCAATGAATAGAAATGTAAACATTAATTCTCTTCTTGATAATTATCCTAGCACCAGAATAAACATACCAAAAGATGGGGGAGCAAGGGGAAAAGGGCTATAAGATTTGTTCTTTTAACCAGCTTCCATGTGAATTGAGTTCTGAAAACCTTCTTCAAAGTTTGGAGTTATATTCTTCTGATAGATGTGATGTCACATAATCACCATTTGCGACCTCATGCTGGCTTTCTCACTGACCTTGCTCGTGGAAAGTCACAAATGGTGGAAACTATGGGATGTGCAGCCATCGTAATTGGAGGCTAGTCACCAAGCATCCAAATCGCAATCATATCAGGGGTGGGTTCTACATTTTTTTACTATTGGTTCTGTGGGCGTGGCTTATTTTATGGGTGTGGTTTGATGGTCATGTGACAATTCTTTAGGATTTAGCAGAGGTACTGGTCTACCAGGCTTTTAACTGCTTACAGAGCTGTACCGGTCTACCCACTTATTCTTGGAGAGTTCCGGTCCACCCATTTGTTCTTGGAGCGTTCCAGTCTACCCATTTGTTTTTGGAGGCACCGGTCTACTCATTTGTTTTTGGAGGTACTGGTCTATCTATCTGTTTTTGGAGACACCAGTCTACTCATCTGTTTTTGGAAGCACCGGTCTACCCATTTGTTTTTTGAGCACACTGGTCTACCACCACACTGCCTTTTAACACTGATCAGCTGTAGGACGGCCTTTGAAGCCCCACGGCAAGAGTTTAAACAGTTTTTTTCCTTCTAGCCGATCAGCTGGGACTCGGGAGGCAGCGAATAGATTGGGAGCAGGGCCAAATAAAAGGTAAGAATAACACTGGGTGCGGGGGGCGGGAGGGCCCAATTCCCGAACAAAGAGAACCAGTTCGGTGATGTCATATTGTCACCGCTACCGGCTCGGCCGAACCAGGACAAACCGGGAGGAACCCACCACTGAATCACATGACCATGGAGTCACTGCGACACCTGCAACTTTGAGGACTAGTCGTAAGTCTCATTTAGTGCATTGTAACTTTGGATGTTTGCTAAATGAGTGGTTGTTAAACAAGAACTATCTGTGTTTTATAATGCTACCTTCTTTAATAATTGTCTGCAGAACCTCTTGCATTAGTGTAGCCATTGTGGTACACCTCCATATTTCCAAGTTAAAATACAAACAAAAATAACTTACAGCAGCTTTCACTGTTGCAAATTCCACAACTGCACTTCCAGCCTTCTTGTTAGAGATCAGCAAATTAAGAACTTCACCATACTATCAGAATAAAAAAAGAAACGTAATGTAAGATATAGGATGAGTTTTCAGAGATTTTACTATAGGGGTCACTGATTCACAAAGGCAATATTATAGTCCAGAAATGATGCAGACTCTAAGAAGAAAGGCACCAGCCAAATTATTCTAGTGGACGGATAGGCAATAAGTGGCCTTTTAAAACTGAATGGACAGCAACTCCTACTGATCATTCTAGCTAGGGCAGAGGGACAGCTGTATATCATCAGGAAGAACCATAAGTTGTCCAAGCAGTTACTCCTTAAGTATTAATAGTAACAAAGCAAGATATTATGTAAATTAAATATTTACCTTAATGTTTGATAATTCTGCTTCACTAACAGTCCATATCATATTGTGTAATTTATATGTTTTATTTCACTCACACACACCGATGTGTCTTTGACTAAATTATTTTTCATTTCCTCTTTATTATTGGACTGTTATTATTGGACTTTTAGGTTTTTCTATTCATCCTCTGCTTATATCTGGTCAGATTAACCCTTCAATTTAAAAGCTTAAGCCAGTTCAAGGAAGGTGATACTTTAGTTTTTCTTTGTTGTAAGAGGATTGCTTTTTGAGTTGTATTAGATAATGAAACTTTTTTTTAAAATTAAGCATGATTCACATATTGATTCACATCATTCTACATATTGTATGGGACAGTTATAAAGCCTATATGTGAGATCATGTTATTATTAATTCTTTTAAGAGAAAACAAGAAAAAATCTTCTGCATCAATAGCTAGAATATTTGGTTAAAGAGGAATTGCTAGATTAAGCGAAGGATTCTATGAAGCAGGCCTATAGTGAATTTGTATTAACCAAAGTGACATTAGATATTAATACGTATTATGCAATGCCTTCCTTTGTTAACTTGTCTGGAAAAGATTTATAACGATCATGGCATGCTCTCATCGGTGTATGAAAGAATTTATATAAAAAGTCTTTGCTTATTCTTACAGAAGGGCCATAATTATACAGAATAAAAAAGTGGCATTCTGGTGACCCTTCTACAATGAATACACATATGCTAATGAATTTAGTCTGTCTGCTTTTGTTTACTCCTACTACTGTACATATTTAAACAATCCCCAGATTGTTCAATGCTGCCCTAATCAAGATACCAAACAAGCTAGAATTCAAAGCACAAGACCAGATCATGGACTTCAGCTGTAGAAGAAAATAAACCAGAATTTTTAGTTCAAATTATAGCTCAAACTGAATGCACCCGCGTATAGCTCATTCAAGCCAAAGCAGAATGTACCAAAAGCCTAGTTTATTGCTCCATATGAATCTGAATAATATTAAGCAAGGCCAATTATGGTAAGGAGACATTTTAGAACAGGACCTTTTGTAGAATTTGCAGTAGAATTTCTTTTGAGTAACCTCCATTAGTTTCATCTTCTTTCTTGCACTTCCATCGAAGCTGATAAGAGAAAAGCCACAAATTAGTTTCACATAGTGCAGGTTCCAAGGCCTACTGTATATCAACACCTGCAATTTACTTTCATTTCTACCTATATATTCCAATAACTCTTCTGTTTGTCTGTTTCAACCTTCAATTGGGAAATATGGTGCATCATAAGAGCAACCATTTTTGGACCAATGTACCTCAAACAGATTAATTTAAAGAATGTATCCAAAATTTGGGGTCCATTACTCTTATGGGAATGAAATTTGGCAAAGGTGTGGTCACTTCAGTACTGCCACACTGCTGTAGTCAGCTGTGCTGCTGCACTACCACAATCAGCCAAAGTCAGGTGATTGTCATTTCCAAAGCTCTCTGCCGGCTTTTTGCAAGCTGGCAGGAAGTTGGAACTCTTCTGAGGTGATGATGGTACCATATAGCATTGTGGTTAAAAAATAAAATATTTTGTTTTAAATATTGTCAGTTTCATTATGCCATGTGGAAAGAGAGGGGGAACAACATGGCCAACAGATGACATCAAATGTCACTGAGAAACTGTAAGGAGGAGCAGCATACAAGAATGGATGAGGTCAGGGCAATATGTCTCCAGGATCAAGCAGTCATCACAAATAACATGAGAGAAGGAGGGAGAGGGGGAGAGGCATGCATGTCTTCAGAATGATAACAAAAGGCACAGAAGGAAAAGAGAGGAAGAGACAAAGAAGCCAAAAAATGGACATCTTCAGGGACAGAGACAAAAAACAAAGATCAAAGGAGATGAAGAAATCAAGGATGAGAGGGCTGGACATCTCCAGAATGACAAAAGCCACAGAATGAGAAAACAATGACTCAATGGATTGCAGATTGTCTAGTGTTACTATAAATACTATGAATTAGAATTTGAACAGATACTGAATGAACTTTCACTTTGAGGCATATGGAAGCATTCACATTTTAGAATAACGAAAACTTATTACATACACCAAGTAGCATCTGGAAATCTGTCAATATTCGAAGTGACAGAGACTTAACTTCTAATTACCTTTATCCTAGAGCCTAGATTCTAGATTAAAGTGCAAGGAACACATTAAGGTGAAGTAAGTGACAATTCCCATAAGGAGCGAGGATGCCAAGGGCAGTCCAACTGTGTGGGAGGCTGCAGGCGATCCATGTGGCTTCTACTGATGGAATGATAAATTAGTTGTTCATCTTTCTTCATAGCTCAAATTTTTGGGGATGTCTTACTTTGAGCTTGGGTGTTCCTTTGCCATTCCCTCCATACCCATCTTGTTTACCTCAAAGAAATCAAATAAAATGAAAATTATGGTTGCAATAGTTTTGAATCTAAAAAGAATATATTTTGGCTAAACAAAATCCAGTGTTCTAGTTCAGTTTACATTGTTTGATCTCCTAATCTAAACTATTACATTACAGACAAAATTTACACTATCCTGATATACAAGTCAATAGATGTCTTAATTTACTCTGAACTCCCAGAGATAAAGCATCATTGTCTGTAAGAATAAAGAAAAAAAACCATTGGTAGAAAGACTGAAAAGCAAATCTCTCATGTCAGTCGGCACTGAAGAAACTGCAACAAAGTTAATCACAAAGCTGTTGATTAACATTCATTAAACTAATTTTCATTTCCTCACTTTTATGATAGGTATAAAGTTCTTGGGAAATAAACAACTGTCTAAAGTCATGTTACAGAGTAAGATGCAATCCTATGCATTTAGTTTGGAAAACGTTCTAGTGAATTCAAGGAAAATTACTTCCGAATGGACACAAAGGTTCTTTGATGGATTTCCCAATTTAACTCTTTTTTTTTAAGCTTCATGTCAGAATTAACGCAAAACATCCAATGTCTAAAAAGCAAGGAAAAGATTTCTTGGTCTTACTTCGTATTCGCTCTTTCTCAAGCCGGATTTGTTCTTGGATGAGTTTTTGTTGTTCCTCCAGTTGCCGAGATCCCTCTTCACGTAACCTTTGGATCTGGGGTGAGTAGCAGAAAAGAAAAATCCTGGCAATATTGCTTTAAGAACTGTCTCTAATAAAAAAAATCTACTTACAATTTTTTGGGGAAATGTCATAAGAAGTTGACCTATCATTTCTCTAGCTCCACATTCTATTTACTGATCACAATTAAATAAACTAAATAGGTTTTTTAAACATGTGAAGTATGAACATAGAAAATTGTCTATATCATCAGATTATTTAATCATCTTGCTTAACAATCTCTACATTTATTGGAGAATTCCTAGGTCTGCAAACAAAAGTTATATTGGAAGATGTAAAAACTGACATCTGAAACTTTATCCATGCAAAGCAAGTGCTTTCCATTGAATTAAATAATAATTTCTCTGTGCTTGTTTGCTTGTGCATTGAAGCCTGAAAAGCAAATATATTTTAACTAGGATCCCAGCATCATTTATTTATTTTGTAGAATTCAATAATTCAATAATTCCATTGTTGCTCCTGAACATGAATATATCAACCAATGTATTTCATATAAAATAACTGTTTACCACAATAACCTTACCTCTTGCTCTAATGTCCTAGTTATCTCAATCTCTTCTGCCTTGCTAACCTGGGAGTAAGCTTCTTTTTCCCGAGCTTCAAGATCTACAGCAAAGTAGAAACAATTAATTGCAGAGGGATTTAGTTTCAATGATTTTTATATATATAATTAAGAGAAAAATTCAATATAGATAAGAAAGTACCAGATATAAACTATAAACAATTTAAAAATGAATTATATACAAATGATGAACATGTAATTGCTAAAATGCATAAACTTTTGTTAAGATTTGAAATGGAAGAAGTACAAATTAAAGAGTGTATGATAAAATGGGTAAAGAACTTGAGTTAAAATGGATCAATGAAAAAGAATGTAGTCAAAAGGGTTTGAAATTCAGTGTCCTATAATTTGAAATGATATTCTGTTGTTATATGTCACCAGACAAATTGTGTAGGATAAATAAAGGTAATTCTAATTATGATTGGAAATGTGAAAAACATGAAAGAACATTTTATCATGCATGGGTGACCTGTGAAAAAGTGAAAAGGTACTAGAAACACATGCATATGATACAAATTTTAAAATTTAATATTCAGATAAAACCTAGTAAAAACTTTACAATTATTTCTTAATACACAATTAGAAAAGATTCATGGACAATCTGTGTTCTATATTGTAACTGCAGCAAAGTTATTATAGCACAAAGATGAGAAAATATAGAAGTATAAACAGCAGAGGAATAGGCTGTGAAGAAGACAGAATCTGCAGAAATCGCAAAAATGAACCTGTTTGTTTAGGGACAAAACAATATGTACTTATATAAAAGATTGGAAACCTTTTTGCTGAAAATGAACAAAAATGGTAGTAGTGATTTCTGTATTAAAAAGTGTTGAACATGGGACCCATATGGGGAGAAATGATAAAAAATTGTTTTGTATCTATGATAAAGATTGGAACTCATAACTTAAACTTTATTTTCTCTTTCTTTATCTGTGTCTAGCACTTCTATCTTTTCTATTTTCTCTTTATATGGATATCTTTATCTTTTAATTATGTCAAAAAGTTCAAGAAAAATATTTTAAACATCTATTAAAAAGTAAGACCATAAACTTACCTTTTTTTAAAAAAAAGGAACAAGATAAAACTGTTTTGATTGTTAAGTGTACCTTGCTGTACCTATAGTCTTAATGGTATATAAATATGCAGTTTGTAAATGAAGTGTATATCTGATATTATTGTAAAGATAATATAATCTTGGAACTTATTTTCTCAGTAAAGTCTTATAACGTACCAAGTTTGACTTTCTTCCTTCTTTCATCAAGTTTCTGGGTCCTTTCTGCTGCTTGTTTCTTGGCTTTCCTTACTCTATCATAGGCTGCCTACAAAAGAAGTAACAGGATAAAACACACTGAAAGGAGTTAAGAATTACAATGACCTATTTAAAATATTAAATTGATCAATTTGAATTGCTGATAGTTCTATATATTTCGGTATCTTTCATTACCAAAGACCAAAAAAGAAGAAAAAGGAAGTGATCCAGAATATATTAGTGAAGGAAGTGTAAAAGTATTCTCAGTACAGAGAAGTAAAATAACAATGTTATTTTTATACGGTATTTAAATATGCATTTGATTCATTAATAAATTTAGTTTTAGACATCTATGGAAGTTGACACAGAACTGAATGTCGAGTGTTACACATATGAAAACATTAAACAAATATTGGGAAGCTTGGTGGAGGGAGGAAATGTAAAGAAAATGTTGCCTTATCTACCTGTTTTATATTTTTCTGAGCCTTTCTCTAACTAATATTCTTTCCTGAAAAGTGTGTAGGAAAATGGATATTCCTGTATAATAGCGATAGGTAGATTTTTAGCAGTTGAAAAACGTGTATATAAGGGTATTTGCTTGTCCAAGCACTAATCTGCAAGTAACAATTATTATTTTTTTGCTTTTATAACACAGAATCAAATTCCTTACCCTTGCTGCTGCATCTGTTAGCACTGTTAATGCCTGAGACAATTGATGGAAGAGTTCAGCTACAGAACAGAACATTTAAAAAAAGGTAAGCATATATGCATCATTTTAGGTACGTATCATTTATTCACTTTACTTGGGAAAAAAATTTTAACACAATAGGACCAAGCATCATATAACATGAGAAATTAAACTTATTTTAGAATTTAAACTTACCCTACCTTTTAAAACTCAATTTGGTATTGTTGGTTATTAAGTTTATACCTAATTAAAGACAAAGATTTCGAAGTTCTACATCCTTAAATATTTCAGATTTTTTCACATATATAGGTAATAATTCAATTCCCCAAAAAGAAACACATTTAAAAGGACCAAAAGGATACTTTGCAGGTAGAAGGCAGAGAGTGGAAGGAAGACTAATCCCTCCCCTAATGAAATACAGGAAATTGCAGCATCTGTGGTAAAGATCATTTGTAAGGTAGGCCTCATCTATTAGGAGGACCTACTCTAAGGACAACACTGGATCTCTCTCAAGAATAGAGCAAGCTATGGAGCTGCACCAACTAAACTACTGACAATCAATTGTTCAGCAATGGAGATTAATTTTATTTATTTATTTATTTATGAAAATTTATATGGCTGCACAATTAACTCTAAATCTGGGCAGTTTACAAAGATAATTGCCGCTGCTCACGTTTCACGGCAGCAACAGTGAGACTGGCTCTGCTCTTCTCTTAACCATCAGTGGAAGCTTCTCTCCTGTCAGAGTAAACTTGTAGCAAAAGTGTCTACAACCCTGGGTTGTCTACTGTCCACATGTGGAGAACGCAAACACCTAAATGTTGGGGTTGAGTAAGAAAGAGATCAGTACCAGACCTGTAATGCTATGGGAGAACCAGATTATATCCAGTGACTATCCTGCAACCTGTCTCACAGAAACTGCCATCTTGCCTAACTGTTACTGATTTCAGAAGAACTGTTAACATGTCACTATTCTCTCCTGATGGACCACATGGAAAAGAGTTATAAGGAGAACCAGATAGATTTTTATCACATGTCTCCATACCTGCTTTGGGATTATCTGGATGTTTATCTGGATGACAGGTCAGGGCCTTCTGTCTGTAGGCTTTCTTAATCTGTAGCAGAAAGAAGATAAAATGAACAGTGTGAGCAGCTGACTGTATCAACTTTCAAAGTAATGATAAATAACAATATCAACTCACTGAAAAGTGATATAAATAATCTCAAAAATTGGCAAACACATATTGTTATTGCCCAAGCATCTCTGCATAATTAAACTAAGTACCAACATTTTACAAATATCTGATTTCATTGCAATGGAAAATCTACTTTTGAAATGTATTAGTATTTAGATCCATTACAATATTTAGGATAAACTGAAACATTTAATATTTATTCTTACTCCTAAAGAGAGACAATGGCATGAATCAAGGTGGACAAATCAGAGACATGTCAATCCCCATAAAGGTTACGTAATACTTTTTCTTAATGTTTCAAACAGTAAACCTGAGAGGGATGTAAGGCAAAATTATACTACTAATCTGTACTACAGTAAATATGTCCTTGGCACATGGAATCAACTAAATATCTGATAAATATCACTGAATATTTGTGAAGATGTGACTTATTTATCTTATATAAATGTTTCTTTCCAAGGGGCATAACTGAGCTGTAACCATCCGGACTGTAATTGTTCAGGAAAATACATAAAATATTTGACAAGGCAATTTTCTTATCTGCTACTATATCTGATACTGACAAATAACTCAAAAAAGCAATGCCATTTGATCCAAAACTACTAAATGCAACAATTAAGTTTCATTTCATATTTTTGTCTGGAACAGCTTTTGTGAATAATGAAGGTTGGGTATACTTGTATGAATAATTTTCAATTTATCTTGCTTTCAACATATCTTTTTAGAATTATTGTATTTGCCTGAAAAGAAATTTAGGAAGTGTTTTGCAATATATATTTGGCAAATAATGGATCAGCTCTACAAATCTAATTGTTGGAAATAAATTAAAATTTGTAGTTAAAATCTGTGGGCAACTCAAGAACAGTTCAAAATCACGTTTATTTTATTAATTTTTATAAGAGAGATACTCTCAAATTTCTTAATCCACAAGCAAAGGCCATAACTGCAGTTTATAAGAATTATAAAAGGAATATACAGAAGAATTTAGATTTCATATGTCTGTCCAAAATTGTGTCTCAGTTTAGGCTGATGGATCTGATTATATTTTTCATCTCAATTCCAGCATTATGCTTCTCTGACATTAAAAAACTATTATTTTTTAAAATACAGATATAAATTAAAATTCCATTTCTATTTATTTTATTAACTGTAATATTCTCTAATATTACAGCTAATAGGAAAGGAAATTAAATTATTCAGAAATGGCATATTAATACCCAGCTATCTATATAGTATCCAAATGTTTATGATAATTTATGTAATCTAGTGGATTACATAAGTATCGTAGGTCGTAAATGGGTCATGAAATTACTTCTGCAGCACTATTGTAACTGTAAATGGTCAACTCAATGGTCAGTAAAAAAGACTATTTGTATGATCATGATATGTTATAATAATTCAAAGCAAGCATTTAATATTAGAGTGAATGTGAATCTCTTTTGTACAGTCATATACATCCTCTCTTTCAAACTCCATCAACCACACTATTGTTCTTCTCATACATGTTCAGAGATAAAGAACACTGGAGAAATGTTGAGGAGAAAGTCAATTACAAACCAAAATCTTTTGCATTATCTCCTTCACCTTAGTAATTTGCAACATGATAGAGGGAGAAGCCTATGAGAACACTGGCAATTTCCAGCTACAGTAGGAATAGTGAAGACAGCATTCCCCATGTCCAGATTATTAGAACAGAAGCTCTTGCAAGTACACAAAAACCTCCACGTGGGGGTGACAGAACTGAGTAGTGGAACAAAATGTGATTGCAGACAGAAGTATTCCAATTTAATGAAATCCAAAAAAAGAGGCAGCTGAGCTCTGAGACATATCTGATGAGGACTCAATGAACTGATGAGATAAAATAATAGAATCATTTTTTATGAAAGATAAAACAAATTGGTATCTTACATGGCTTTTCCCCCTAAATATAAAATCTTCAGGGCTGCTAGAAGCAGGAGAAATCAGATTTTAAAAACTGACATGGCAAAAAGGATTAAAAAGTTTATCCATTCATCTATCTCCCCTGCACTTGTTTTGATGCTTAAAGGATGAAATTAATAAAATAATTCTTAGACCTTAATATTTCAATGTTCAGTAAAGCTTATTTTTAATGATATATTCATGGTATATAGTCAGTGAAAAAGGAGATAAGAAAAACAGGCATCTTTTCCTAATGAATGACTCAATGAAAATTGATTTCCCCATCCTAAAGCAAATTTAAACTCAAGCAAGCATATATTTATTTTTGCAGATCTACTTCAATTCATGAAATCACCAACACTGTACAACTTCTAATGGTAATGATTGTTATATAGTCCAATTTACATTAATTTGCCAGTTGTATAAGTACATTTATAATACATCAAGAAACATATTGCAGGACACAATTTCTAGAGGACACAAGATTATGACTCCTAAAGTCTTTTTACAGGCATCGTGTTATTGTGGAAATAGAATGTTGCACCACAGAGACTTTTGATCTGATCCCATACAACTCTTCTTAAAATGGAATTTTCTCCTACACCTTTAGGGATCCCACAGGGAGCCTGTGAGACGACTGTACTTTATTTAGTGATTGTTATTATTCCGCTATCTTAGTTTATATATTTTTTTAAAAAATGTGTTCAATTGTTTTAATCACCGTTCTATTGTTCTAATTGTCAGTGAGGGTTGTGTGCAGTCCAGAGCCATGTTCAATGAGATGGGGAAGGGTATATAAATTTGCTAAATACATGTTTTCCACTGAAATCTGGATCAACCATATCTTCGCAGGAATACTGATCTCAAGTGCAGGGCATCATAGGAACACGAGGCAATTTTGACAAAGTAAATATTGGATTTAGCCCTGTCCCCATGCTAACACCTTCTCCACAAAGCTTGTCCTGGGTCTCGTTCCTCAAGCAGCCAATATTGGCACAGGAAGACTGGAAAACCCAAAGGTGCTTTTTTCAAGAGGCAACTGGACTTTCTGCTTTTTATTTTTCTTCGAAGACGTTTCACTTCTCATCCAAGAAGCTTCTTCAGCTCTGACTGGATGATGAGGAATGGAAGGATTTATATTCCCCATCATGCAGTCAGAGCTGAAGAAGCTTCTTGGTTGAGAAGTGAAACGTCTTCGAAGAAAAATAAAAACCAGAAAGTCCAGTTGCCTCTTGAAAAAAAGCACCTTTGGGACAACCATGACCTGGATGACTGAGAATCTCCGTAGACATTTAGCGAAGACGGGCAAACCACCAGCAAACGGCGAAACTAATAACCAACGAAGCATCCCTACACTGGACAATGGACAGGCCTTGAGGTAGATACGAATCCTGGCACGTTTTAAACAAGTTTGCAGAATAGCCCCATTTACTCCTGTAGTAAAGCTCACTCAGGGCCGCTTTTCACCCCGTGGACCGTTTCCACGTGCGTTGGACCGCGACCCCCATTTGGCCCTGGCCAGTCACAATTGGGAACGATGGGACTTGGAATCAAATGCATGTGGAGGCCTCGGCCACGGCCTCAAACGCCGGGTCCCGGAGCTCACTTATCGGCGGCACCTCTATAAGACGCCTGGTTTTATGCATGGCTTGGAAAACGAAACTCCGACCGCCTCCAACGTCTATCAAAAGGGGTTGAAGTATGGTTTCCCTTCCCCCACAGCTCGGGCCTCCCTGACCTCTTTATCCGTCGCTTTCTCCACCACTCCCAGAAGCACGTAGAGGTCCAACTCCAGCAGTTCTTTATCGACCGCCATTTCCCTCAAGACTCGCTTCTTCTGTCAGTTGGTTCCCCACCGGGATGATTCTCGCTCGAGCTGTTTTTCTCCCTTCCCCCACCCGCCAACCCCCGACAGCGATTTGGCTTCTGGGAAACGTGGATCTTTCTCATTAGGAACGTCTCTTCTCCGGACGGAAGATGGAAGCCGAGCGAACTACAATTCCCAGCATGCCAGGCCGGTCTTCGTCATCGTGATGCCGTGAGAAGTTTCCGGAGCCGTGATTGGACAAATCGTCGAAACCCCAGCAAGCGCTGCGTCAGGGATTGTGGGCGGGGAAGAGTCTCTAGGAAATGTAGTTACAGAACAGTACCGTATTGTATTGCATGTCACCCGCTTAGACCCCTCCCACCCCCGGGTCGTAGAAGGACTGTAAGTATATACCTGGTCGTCGCTTGCGGCAAAAGGAGCAGTAGGCAGACTTTGAAAAAGGCAGAAAAGGCCTGCTGGATTAGACTAGACTAGAGTATCAGATTATCAAGCTAGATTAGCCTTCCTTTCATAAAGTTTCCTTAATCTTTTCTTTTTTTTTTTGTAAGCATCTTGGGGTAACCTTCCCCGATCCAATGCCTTCCTGATGTGTTGTATTGCAACTCGGGTAATTCCCAATGTGATTGTAGTTTTCCATACCTAGCTGGACAGGGTGGGGATTTGGTCTGCATCTTTAAAGGGTGACAGGGGTGGGGGGTGCTGATTTATTTCCCTAATTCACCATGGTGGTCAATGAAGAAAGGAAGGGAGAGAGAGAAAAAAAATGTCCAAAAGTAAAAATGTATCTTTTCAAAATAGTTAATGTAACGATCATAAATAATTTCCCCCCTTTCAATACAATTTTGTGCTGTTTTGTTCTGTTGTGAATACAATCTACTTTTTGGAAGAGACTGTTGTACCTTGATCTGCTATGGGTCTGCTTTTGAACATTGTAAAGATAAAATGAATTACAGGAATTGTTCCAGTTAAGAATTAGGGAATTTAGGATTAACACATTTGAAAGATACTGGGTTGGGAAAACCTAATCTTTGAATTTTTGTTTCTTTCTCCATTATTTTAATTGTTATTAGGTAACCAAATGTATAGTATGTTTTTTTTTATTAAAGCAAAACCAAGTACCGCTGTCACCTCTTTAGTAGATTATGTTTTCATTGAATCATTATCAGCATTTTATACTTCACTCTTATTCTTTGTTCTATCTCTGAAAAGCGAACCATGGGATAGCTGCTTGCAGATAAAATAGAATCACATTGTCCCCACTAATATTTTTTGTGAAAACTCTAAGAACCAACTCAGCTGGCATCATGGATAAGAGGTGTTATGGCTGTGCATCAAAGTTTACTGTCTTCAAGAAACAGGCAAGTTTTTCTTCACTACTCAGTGTCAGCACTTGCAGAAACTGAACTTGATAAATCTGTGTTGAGAGAAATGCGATCTCATACAGTAAAATTTGAAATTCTCTTCTGGTAGAATTCATTCAGATGTCATGTTTCAGATTCATGCTTCTTTTGGTTCCCATAATCAGTTTTAGATATATTAATATTTCTAGTTACTTTAATATTTTACACTTTATTTGTTTTTATGGATTTTTTGGTCCTCTATACTGCCCAGAGTCTGTTGGAGTTGGGCAGCTATAACAAATTTGAATTAATAAATAAAGGATGGTTGCTAAGCAAGTCTCTGCCTTTCAGTTTCAGTTATTTGATTGTTTTGTTTTTCTATAATAAAATAACCAATAAGGGATCTTTCCTTAAAAGGTCCCAGTAGATGGTTCTGGTTTCATTTTGAAGAGTGATCTGTCTATTTTGATGCACAGTGAGTGGATAATTCACATAAAATGAATTAAATAGGTTATGTGAAATACAATGATAAACACATACATTAATGCTAAAATATACACAAAGAAAAATGTGTGATGCTGATGCATGATTCCATGTCATCGTACGTTACATGGTTGAAAATGACTTAGATTTTGAGAAGTGTTTGAAAGCATATTAAGAAGTTATCCGGTAAATATCAATGTTTTATCTGCCAGTGTATCACTGATGATGTTTTATCCATCTTAAAACTGGGTGGGAGGAACTCATAAATGGTGGGGGGAAATAATTTAAATAATAGCATATGACACCAACTTCTTCCTAAGGAAAATATGAAAAGACTTCTTCCAAAAAATGTCTAAGTCTTGGGGAATTTTGATTAGCTAATGATCACTATAGTATATGCTGTGGCAGCTAAACTCTTTTGTTTTCCTTACTCTTTATTGTTTGCATTGCTGTTTTGATTAACTGTTTCAATATTTCTTGCCATTACTTGTTTTAAAAAAAAAATAGTAGGACATGAACAGAATAAAATAAATGTTATAGTATACAAGTGTTATATTCCATGCTCTTGCATGTCAGACGTGTGCTTTGAAGGAGCCTGGAGGAAAAAAACCCTTTGTTTTCATATTGGCTTTCTACAATAAGAGAACTCGGTTTCAAGATGGCTTGCTTGCTTATTTGTTTATTTATTATAGCTGTCCATCTCACTTTTACATGGTCTAGGCAGTTTACAATAAATCAAAATAAAATGTAAAATACACAATATAAAAAATAAAAGTAAAACATATAGCAGTCGGGCATAATCTAACCAATCACCCACACAACCAGGAAATGAGCTCTAACCCATGCCCAGGGCCCCTGACTCGGGCACAAAGACCCATATTTTCTTCCTTAGCCAGCCAGGAGTGATGTGAATGTAACATAAGGTCGTATCGGTCCATAAGGTCATATCGGTCCAGTAGTATCGGATACGACTGTTTGGCCTGATCACTTTCTCAGGCCAAACAGGATCAAACTCTCCTCAGGTAACCAAGCTAGACCCACCCCCAGTAACCACCACAATATGGAAGTATCTCCCTTACGCATCTTATATAAGAAGGAACCTTCCAGTCGTCCTGCAGCAGTCTGATTAGTGTGCTTTCCTCCATTGATTTTTTTCTCCCCTCTCAGTATGGTTGCAAGGGTTGTGGTCGAGGATTTTGCTCAAGCTGCCTTGGATTCAGTGCCACTGTTCCTCGTTGTGGGGACACTCAGCAGAAGGTTTGCAAGCAGTGCCATGGAGAATTAACAAGGTAAGAACAGAACTGAATTCTGATCCAAATGATGGATTGACAAAATTACAGAGTTCAATCAACTCAAGCGAGTTGCCACTTTAGCATTCTGTGTATTAGCTGAAATCCACACAATCGTTTTGGAAATGTACCACCATATTCCTTATTCTACAATGCTAAAAGATTTTTTTCTGGGTGATGAATTCTGGCATTAAGCTTATTGGCTCAGAGTTTCTCTCTCCTTTTGGGGGGTTTGTATAAGATCTATCAACTTTCATGACACCTAAAGTGCCTGACTATGTTTCACATAAGAATGTAGACAGGGTTGTGCTATATACAATACTAATGCGCTATAAATATATTTATTTTGCACATATTCTGACTTCCAAGTGTTAGAGGGATAGATTCAGCCAAATAAAACATTGGTAATTAGTCCCAAATCGGCTTATACATTTTAGAGTGTAGCAGTTTTAGCCTCTATTTTATGTCATTCTTATTTTTCTTTTCAGCGCATCATCTCAGTCAAATTCAGCTAGATGGTCTCCACCAGAGAACTATAAGAAGTGAGTTCCAATAATCACAAAATTAGTTTTGCTTCATGATCTTTATATATTTGTAAAGCAAAGTGTATGTATGTGTTATGATGAATCACCAGTGGCCTTAGCCATTTAATAGCCATTTTTAAAATATCTTTACTTGTTGCAGGATTTGAATTCCTTATATTAACAATCCAAAAAAATGTCATTTCTTCCTCAGAATAACTAGAGCAGGACTTTTCAACAATTTTCTCACTATAGATCTTAGTTTAAAAAAAATTCCAAGAACCCGTGATCAAGAAGCAAGCACCAGAGATACAAAAATTGGCAATAATATGAAAAACTAAGAATAATATGCTTACCCTGAGGGGTCTATATCTAGGATATGTATGACTATGACAGTTTAATATTGTGATACTGAAAAATTGTGCATTAAAATCACTATTTGTGATATCACCTAGAAAGAAACTGGTTAGGAATGCTTAACTGAAGTCACTTGAGCACCTGTATTTTGCCAGTCTGCCTTTGTAAATGCAGTTCTCATGTATATTTACTCCCTCCCACTCTCCGTCTAAAATAACAATAGCAATACAGGAAACAGTACTTTTATAAACAAACAACTGTTTCAGCCCTAAACAAAATTAAACCAACTGGCAGCGGAGCAGAGTTTAACAACTAAGAGATTTCAGCATAAGAGTAAAATTTTTAACTATGGCCAATCTATACTTCCAGGATAATGAGGGTATCAAAAGTGATTGCCTGATATAATCTTCCTCTGAACTTCCGTGATGATATGGTGGTGCAGTGGTTAGAATGCAGTATTGCAGGTTAACTCTGCCCACAATCAGGAGTTTGATCCTGACCGGCTCAAGGTTGACTCAGCCTTCCATCCTTCCGAGGTCAGTAAAATGAGGACCCAGATTGTTGAGGGCAATAGGCTGACATTGTAAACGCTCAAAGCATGCTGTAAAGCATTATGGAGCGGTATATAATTATAAGTGCAATTGCTATTGCTATCTGTAAGGACTGATCCATTCACTTGTGCTTGTAGGTGCTGGATGAGTCAGTGCTGTTTTATTTCAGTGAAACATGTGGATGAACTTGGCAAACATCTCTCTGTGTCTTGCAAGGCTCACATGTAATTGGTCACTTGATGCCCCAGTGATTAAACTATGTGTATGTGAATCAAGTCTTAGAGGAGCATTTCTGATAATCCCATTAATTCACACAGGATTTGTTTTTGCAGGCGGATTGCAGCTCTTGAAGCTAAGCAGAACCAGACGCAGAGCCCTCAGAAGGGCTTGGTGAAATCTCAGAGTCAGACAGACTCCAGATATCGAGGGTTCTCAAAAGAGGATAAGATTCTAATAGAGAGACTGGAGAGGCTCAAGAAGGCAGCAAGGCCTAGTGAGTTGCTCATATTTTCATGCTGGGTTCTGCTGC